CCACGAAACTACTCGTATTACTATTTGAAACGATTAGCACCGTAGATCCGGTTCGTAATAGCTGCGTACTTCTGCACTCTAGCGGGTTCCTCGCGAGGGACTTAGATGCAACCAGGCATTACACCACCTCCTTCGCACCTCGACGCCCTGAGCTGACGCTGCGGGTGGCTGGAGGCAGAGTAAAGAGGTCCGCTGCTCTGGAAAAGCTCTAACCTCAAGTCTTTGCCTTCATTGCACCTTGTAGTGAATACTCCCTACAATCACGGCAACAATGCCGTGCTCGCTGTGAAATGAGTGAGGGTTGTACGAACAGTGTAAGTGTCTGTGAGCGCTTATTGATGTACATTGAATATAACATTGGTGAATGTATGAAACGTTCTTTATGTAGTGACCACTGATATGACTATAGGTGAGGCTGGCATGAAACTTGGTGCAAAAGGTATTGCAACATGCTACGCCGTCTCCTCTCCCAGCCCCAGAGGCAGCACTGCCTGCCCCAGTGGGGTTGCAGAAGAGAACAATTTCGAAGAATAAACTGAGAAAACTAATTTCTTTTAACTTTCATTAGTTTGATATGTTGTTGTTTCAGTATGATAGTTATTGCCGGCCGGCCCGCTATAGTCAACTGTGGGGTTCTAAGGATGCGCCCCACAGTAGTTCTTCAGAGATACAACCTAGTAATACGTGGGCTTACTGCAAATATTTGTACTAAAGACAAATACTCTAAGTTATCTTGAACAGATCTTAGCATAGCATGAGAGGGACTGAGGGCTCTCCCCCACATCTCATCAGCCTACAGGGCCCGCAGTACCCCATTGTTAGGGATTCGCATCACCCCATCGTATGAGGGAACTTGAATCCATACTAGGCCTCACGATTGTGTTTTTCATCCGCGTTTGTGTTGTCGTTTGGGGCACAAGACGCAGAGCTGCTGGCAGAGAGTACTTTCATCTACTGAGACAAGTGGGATCACGTTCCGACGGCCACATGATGCCTAAGGCCCCAAACTCCCCTTAGACTGGCCCTTCTGAAGGTGAGTTTCTCACAATGGTTCCCATTCGGCTCGCATTCACAGAGGCCATCGGAAATACGACCAGTATGTAGAACGGCTGAGAACCCGTGAGCCTGAATGGGTTTCGGAAGATCGCGTACTTGAGGCGATCCCCTTGGAACATTTTGGGGCTCTTTTGGGTTCCCCAGCAGACACCGGCAGCGTCTATGGGTCCAACACCACATGATTCCGGGCTGCCGGAACCCTATGTCCAGCTCACTAGGCATGCCAAGCGTGGGAAAGCTTCTATGTTCTTGTTCTAGGAGGTTTCGGGGCTATTTATTTCCCTATAACGTATTTTCGTTTTCTTTAGGCTCCGTGCCATACACGCTGGCCAGTACCCACTCTGCTGCTTCCCATTTGCGGCTGCGAACCCTTCCTTCGTGTTTCCTAGGAGCCCACTGTATTCCCCTATGAAGCTGATTATTCGGCGATTCGGATCAGTGTCCATTCAT